GGGGGATATAGGGAGCAGCCTGAGCCAGGTGCTTTCCTCAATGCCTCTGTGGTCCTCCAGGAGAAGCAAACCAAGCCAGCAGAAGCTCCCCGGCTGCAGCTATCTTCAGGCTTTGCTTGGAACGTGGGACTAGACTCTCTGACCCCAGCCTTGCCACCTCTAGCAGAGAGCTCAGATAGCGAAGAGGATGAGAAGCCACACCAAGCCACGGTGCTGTATTTTCCAGGGCGTGTCCTTTTTGCAGGGACCCCTTGGTGTCAGTCTCCTTTGCTCTGTTCTCAGCCTGGGTGTCTTCCTGGGTAGGTCGGGGAGGGGGCAGCAGCCAGTCCCAGGCCAGGGGGTGTATATATAGAGCCCTGGGCTGCCCAGCCAGCCTGTGGCTTCCACCACAGACCTCCTCTAGGCCTTGAGGAGCCCATGACTCACTGTATGTGTGCCTTCCATAGCAGAAAAAGAAAAGCAAGAAAGAAAGGGAGTTGGAGAAGCAGAAGGCAGAGAAGGAGCTGTCCCGCATTGAGGAGGCGCTGATGGATCCTGGGAGGCAGCCGGAGTCCGCAGACGATTTTGACCGACTGGTGCTCAGCTCCCCCAACAGCTCCATCCTGTGGCTGCAGTACATGGCTTTCCACCTGCAGGCCACGGAGATCGAGAAGGCCCGTGCCGTGGCCGAGAGGGCCCTTAAGACCATCTCCTTCAGGTCTCAGCTTTGCCCCAGGGAGCACTGTGTCTCCACACGTTCTGGGCTGGGAGGTTTTTCAACCTGTGGGGCATTTCTTCAGGAGGGCCAGCAGCAGTTTGGGTGGCTGCCACCAGGGGCCCATGGGTTCCTAGGCTTTCTGCCATAGATGTGGCCATCTGTGAAATAGATCTGCTCATTTATATTTTATAATCGTCTTCTCCGAAACTGCTAAGGGTAACCTTTACAAGAGTCCCTGCACTTACATAAGGGAACCAGTTTGGAGCAGAACTACAGTAAGAAAAAGAACTCACCACATACCTGGGTGAAAACCCTGTATGTGGCCATTTTCCAGACAGAGAGAGTGAGTTTTCTAAGGCCTAATGAAGAGGGAAGACAGTCCTTTGCTTTATCCTCTTAGTTTGAAGGGAGAATCAGACCCAGGACTCTGCTTCCAGCCCAGATCTCAGGCCCATTTGGGATCTGGTGGGCCTCCTTTCCAGGAATGGAGGTAGAATCCAGGGGAGACAGAGACCAAGCCATCAGAGTGGCAGCTGTGGTGGGGACACAGCCTCTTAGGGTCTGCATTTGGGATCTGAGGACATGGGTAGAGCCTGGGAGGAGGACGTGGCTCCTGGGTCTGCCTGGCTGGGATGGGAGACTCACTGGGATGAGCTGATGGAGCTCCTGTGCTGACTGCTGTCCCTCCAGAGAGGAACAGGAGAAGCTGAACGTGTGGGTGGCTCTGCTGAACCTGGAGAACATGTATGGCTCTCAGGAGTCCCTGACCAAGGTCTTCGAACGGGCTGTGCAGTACAATGAGCCTCTCAAAGTCTTTCTTCACCTGGCGGACATCTACACCAAGTCAGAAAAATTCCAGGTAGGAGGGCCACAGACTAGCTCCTGGGAGTCCCAGTGGTTCTCAGGGAAGAGCCCCTGGGGTTCTGGGTCCAGTCCTGCCCTGGACTTGATACCCCACATCTGGGCCCCAACTTCCTCATCTTCAAGTAAGAGAAGTTATTTCCCTCACCTCTTCTTCAGGACCATGGAATCAAGGTGAGGGAAGCAGTGACTTTGGAAATGAAGGGGCAGTGGAGCCCTGGTGTGTCTGTGCTGGGCTGCTGGCTGGGCGTCACAGACAGGGGACATCCCAGCCCAGCATCCACTTCGGTGGTGTCTCTCCTGCTCCCCCTGTCATTCTCATGTTCTCCTAGTAGGACTGCCCTCCCGTGGGTGCTGAGCAGCAGGGTGTCCCCTCCACCGTGTCGTGCCTGTCCACTGGCCTCTGTGAGCCTCCCTCCCCGCTCCTCTTGCGTCTCTAGCATTAGGCCCTGAGAGTGATTTGGTGTCTGGGAGCCCAAGTCTAGCTTCTTATGAGTGTTGCTGCTTGTCTGTCTGGTCTCCACTGTAGTATCATGCTCTCCTCTTGTCGTTTCCCACAGGAAGCCAGTGAACTCTACAACCGGATGCTGAAGCGTTTCCGGCAGGAGAAAGCTGTGTGGATCAAATACGGCGCCTTCCTTCTGCGGAGGAGCCAGGCGGGGGCCAGTCACTGCGTGCTGCAGCGAGCCCTTGAGTGCCTGCCTAGCAAGGAGCGTGAGTGCTCATTCCCAGCTCCCAAGCCCATGAGCGCTCCAGGATCGGGGAGTAGGGATTGGCTGTGGCATTGCTTCTAAGTCAGGAGAGCCTTGTGAGGGCTTTCCTCTCGCCGCCTGTCGATTCTGTGCCCAAGCATAACAGTACATGTTACATTTCAAATGCCAGGCTCCAGGAGATGGAGGAACAAAACGCAGTTATCACTAGTTCTGTTGCCCCTGGAGTCCCCCACCTCTTCTGTGCGCAGAGAGTGGTGTGTCTGCAGTGCCCGTCTGTGTATTTGGCCCCAAACCCACCCCACCTTCCTTTTGGGGCTTTGTCCCTCTTGTCACAACCTGTCTTGGGACCTGAGAGCAGGGAGTCAGGCCCACGCTGTCCCTGTGGAACACTGTTGTGGTGAGGGGGTCTGTCTGTCTGCTTGTTGGGTCTCTGAGCTGTACTTTCCCTGCAGACGTGGACGTCATTGCCAAGTTTGCCCAGCTTGAGTTTCAGCTGGGGGACCCAGAGCGGGCCAAAGCCATTTTTGAGAACACGCTGACCACCTACCCAAAGCGCACAGATGTCTGGTCAGTCTACATTGACATGACCATCAAGCATGGCAGCCAGAAGGATGTCCGGTGAGTGGGGTTGCTGGCCAAGGCCAAGTTCCTCAGGGGAGGGCATGGTAGGCATTGGCCCCCAAGCAGAGCTCAGCATCCCAGTCCTCTTACTCAATCTAGAAAGCCAACTCAATGTGATGCCCCAGGCCCAGTGACATTCACTTGTTCAACTTCTCTTTCTGCTTCAAAGGCCAGCATCTGGTCTATCTGAAACCATTGGTAGGAGGTAGCCTGGTCCCTGGCATGGGAATCAAGAGACTTGAGTTTCTCTCATAATGACACTGTTCTTGGCCCTCACTGTAGACAGATTTCACAGGCAATCTCTTGCCTTTGTCCCCTAGCATCCCCACAAGACAGGGAGGGTTTAGAGATGAGTAGACTGTGAGGTCCACAAAGAACAGGTGCCTCACCCAAACCCTTCAGCGAGCTGAGATTTTCTCAGAGAAAAGTTATCTATGTGTGTTTCTTACTGTGTGTTCCCCATCCCAGTGATTTGTTCTGATCACTGTAAGGCTTTAGGCAGAAGTCCCTTACCATCTCTGGGTGTCTGTCTGCTCATCTGGAAGATGAGGTGGTAGTGCCTCTCCCCAGGGAATCATGGGAGTTCATCATGGATTAATAAGGATAATGGTAGAAGTGGGAGTCCTAGATGGGAGGGGGTCCTGGTTCCAGGGCTGAGAACAAGTGGGTTAGTGTTAGCCAGGAAGCATGCGGCGTGGTACTGAGAGGCAAATGTCACCCTGCTGCTTCTCAACAGGGACATCTTTGAGCGGGTCATTCATCTGAGCTTGGCCCCCAAGAAAATGAAGTTCTTTTTCAAGCGCTACCTGGACTACGAGAAGCAGCATGGCACCGAGAAGGACGTGCAAGCAGTCAAGGCCAAGGCCCTGGAGTATGTGGAGGCCAGGAGCTCAGTGGAGGACTAGTGGCAGGCTGGCTCCACAGGTCACTGTTAGCAATGGGCCAGCCAGCCCTGCCTCGGGTACCTGGGCACTGGGAAAACTGTTGGCTCAGGACTCTTGTTTAAATGCTGCTTTTTCTGCAGCACCCTTAGGGGAATCCTGTCAGGATAAAAAGGAATTTGAGATTGTTTTTAACTCCTTTTTGCTCATTTTATTTTCAGTACCAATTTATGTCATCTTTTTCCTTATCTGAGGCTTCTTGAGGGTTGTGGACAGCAGGCCCCTGAACTCCTGGAAAAGCTGAAGGTCCCTCTTCCAGGGGAGTTCCTTGGGGAGCAAGAGTGGAGGGGGTACTCCTGAGGGTCTTGTGGTCAAGATCCCCCTTTGTGCCTAGCGGGCTGTCAGTCCAGCCAGAGGGGGGTCAGTAGGCTCCCAGCAATGGAACCTTCCCTCCGATCTTGGAGTCTCTGGGTGTTCCTTCAGCTTCAGCCTGGCTGGTACCTTCTGCCCTTTACTGGAGGCTGTGAGTCTGGGACAGGAGGACAGATTCAGAGCCCAGAGGGGAAAATGGAGAAACCTGGGCTGCTGAGGAAAGCCACAGGGGTTGGCTTAAACTGATGATGTCTTATCCCAGGCCCACCATGGCCAAATTACCTAGCCTTACCATATCTGGTATATTCCATGTCTTGGAGACCAGTACAGACTCAGCTAGTTGCTGAAGCCAGTTCTTTTTTGGCTTGGTCCTAAGGGAATTAGAAGTTTTCTCTGGCAGCTTTAAGTGTCCTGAGAGCTTTTCCATGGGAAAAAACTGAGTCATATGCCAGGAAGCAGGACAGGGCCAAGGGAGAGCATCCAGAGGTTTTAGAGGCGGTGGGGGTGGCGGGCAGGGATGGCAGGATGGAGACGCTGGGGCCGGCCTGCTGCTTAAACATGAGAACTAGGTTACAAGAGCTAACTCCAGGCCTGCCGACTGAGCACAGAATCTTCTGAATCGTTGAGAAAAGCCAGGCTTTGTTCCCCACACCAAATCAGAACGTAGAACCCTACTGCAAAGAGATCAGGGGCTTCCCCTGTGTTAAATACCTGGCACTCCCTGTACCGCCGCCACCCCTGTGGTCCATTTCAGTCCTGTCCCCTTCCCTAACACAGGGCATGGAGTTTGGGCCTGGCCCCGTGACCACCAGCCTCCTGTGGCATGGCCGGTTCAATCACACAGACACCAGACTAGTCCTTTTAGTAACAAAAGCTTTATCAAAAATTTAAATATATAAAATAAGGCCAGAGGCATGCATTGGAGGCTGCTTCCCAGGGCCACACTGCCGCGCTGGGTGTCCCTATGCAGCTAGACACACATTAACTACACACGGTACCATCAAGGAGCCTGCTGGTGAGCTTCACTGTCACCAGCCCTGCTGGCTGGGGCTTCCATTGTCTGCTGGGTCTCTCCGCACCCCCAGATTGCCTTGTGGTCCTTTCCCCCAGCCAAGAAGATACAGTTTTTAAAAATTCCTCTTCTGATACAGATGTGAGCAAGCAGTGGGGTTCAGTTTGGGACCAAGTCATGCCATTTGGAAAGGGGGTGGGAAGCAGCTCCTTAGGAGGCGAGCAGGGCCATCTCCATGTTGTCTGGGGCCGCACCATTGCCTGCCAGACCCTGGGCCCACTTGTGCAGCCGGCTGTAGAGTGGGAGGCCCTGGTTCTCACGGTACAAGTAGACGCCGGTGATGGCATTCCACTGTGGCCGCGGCTGCGTGCCTTCCACTGGGAAGTTGGCCACCAGCTCCTCGTCATCCTTGTTGAGCGCCACAAAGCCAAAGAAGCGGCGCACATTGTTGGCAGCGAGCACCCGAGAGTGCACCTCGGCCGTGCGCTGGAACAGCTGGTCCTCATTGGTGCGGTACTGTGCCCAGTAGGCCTCCTGGCGGTAGCTGAGTGGTGAGCAGTAATGCTTGAGGCACTTGGTCAGGAACACCAGGATGGCCACCACGCCAATGAGCAGCCACCCAAAGAGCTGGCCAGAGAACGGGCAGGGTTCAGGGGGGGCAAGGAACTGCCTGGCTCTACCTCTCAGAGCGAAGTGGAGAAGGAACAACTTCCACTGGTCTAAGGGAAGCAGGCCCCTCTGGCTGTGACTCCATTGCTTCCTTACCCCCTTTAACTCACACTCTCCTTGCTCTTAGCCTGCACTTTCTGCTGCCATCCCTTCAACCTTAAGGGCACCTCCTTCCCCTGCCATCATCTCACCCCATCAAACACCAGGCAGGGTATGGTGGCTCATGCCTGTAATCTCAGCACTTTGGGAGGTCAAGGTGGGCGGATCACCTGAGGTCAGTAGTTCGAGACCAGCCTGGCCAACATGATGAAACCCCATCTCTACTAAAAATACAAAAAAATTAACCGGGTGTGGTGGTGCATGCATGTAGTCCCAGCTACTTAGGAGGCTGAGGCAGTAGAATCGCTTGAACCCTGGAGGTGGAGGTTGCAGTGAGCCAAGATTGTGCCACTGTACTCCAGCCTGGGTGACAGAGTGAGACTCCGTCTCAAAAAAAAAAAAACCCAGCTCAACTTGCCAGGCTCAGCTTAGATGCCACCTCTGGGAAGCCTTCAAAGGCCCCTCTGGGAACACTTGTGCCTTCCCTGAATTCCCCCGTGGCCTGGTTTCTCTCATCATCACCATCTGCCGTGTTTGGAGGTCATGCATGTGCTTGTCTGAAATGCTTGCCTGGAGGGCAAGGAAAAGCAAGGTCATCTTTGTTTTACCATTTGCTCCTATACAGAGATCTGGGGGCATTTGATCAGCATCCAGTAAGTTATCATTTTTTTGTCTACCATATTCCAGTTCTGGCACTGTCTCCACCCTTTTCTCTGTTTATGTTTCTTTTCTTTTCCTTGAGACGGAGTCTTGGTCTGTCACCCAGGCTGAAGTACAGTGGAGTGATCTCGGCTTATTGCAACCTCCACCTCCAGGGTTCAAGTGATTCTCCTGCCTCAGCCTCCCGAGTAGCTGGGATTACAGGTGCCCGCCACCACGCCTGGCTAATTTTTGTATTTTTAGTAGAGACAGGGTTCCACCATATTGGCCAGACTGGTCTCAAATTCCTGACCTCCAGTGATCCACCCACCTTAGCCTCCCAAAGTGCTAGGATTACAGGCATGAGCCACCGCACTCAGCCTCTGTTTACATTTCTTATTTACTCAGAGAAAAAATCTTTTAGAAAACCTGTGTTCCCCTGAGATCACGAGCCCAGCCTGGCCAACATGGTGAAACCCCATCTCTACTAAAAATAGAAAAATTAGCTGGGCATGGTGGCACGCGCCTGTAAATGCCAGTTACTCAGGAGGCTGAGGCAGGAGAATCACTTCAACTGGAGGTGGAGGTTGCAGTGAGCAGAGATCGTACAACTGCACTCCAGCCTGGGTGACAAGAGATAGACTCCCATCTCAAAAAAAAAACCTGTGCTCCTTCCTGTCTCTCCCTCGCCCACTGCTTCTCTAAGTTAATGCTTTCTGCTGAGACTTTCTGCTGCTGCCCAGTTCTCTTCCCTTGCCTCCTCTCCCTTGACCAACCTCCTCTCCTTCAGAGCCCAGCTTAGGCTCAGGACAGCAACTGCATCTTCCTGACTCAACACCCCATCCTGACCCAAGGGACTTCTCTTAAGTCGTCAACACTTGAGGCTGACTCAGTATTTGGGCTGGGCCCTTCCTGGGATAGGAATGTGTTCATCCCAGAGCCAGCCACACTCCACTGTCAAAGCCCCATCACAGATGTTTCTGGAGTGGCTCGTGGGGGCCCATGCTCAGTCTGGCTGGGGTAAGTGGCTTATCTGTGATTGGAATTAAGGACCAGTGTGAGCCAGAAGAATGTTCTTTTAATATTTAAAACTAATGTGGTCATATACAAGAGAGATTTACTGTAAAAAAAAAAAATTGCTAAGTCTCCCTCTTATGTTTGTCTGGAATTGGCCCTACCATGCACCGGTTAACCAGCTCTGATACCTAACGCCAGTGCTTTCCCACAGACCTCAGCCCCTGAGGACCAACTCCAAGTTTAGCACTAGGCCATCCCTACACCTCCCACCAGCCACCACTAGGGAAGAGGAGCTTCCCTTGCACAGCTCCTTACCTGGGACTCATACCTGAGCCTGCGGATGACCTCTTCCCGGAAGTCTGTCAGGTTGGGAGGGTTTTCCTTGCAGGGAAACCTGGCCAGGATTTCGGTGGCGTGGGCTGATGGGAAGTGCTCTTCCCTGGCCGTGAGTGAGGAGGGGTCCACGAACTCGCTGAGGGCACAGACATAAGCCTCACCACGCAGCAAGGAGATGACAGACCAGGTGACAGGGGCCACAGCCGCTCGGCCCAAGATGGAGCTTAGAAGGAGGAAGGTGGGGGCGGCTGAGCAGTTCTTGGTCCTCCGGTGCTGGCACTCGGCCACGAGGTTCCAGGTGTGATTGTTGAGGATGATGCCGATGATGAAGAGCACCAGGGCGGGCACGCCGATGGCCGCCAGCCCATATAGGTAGTTCCGGGCCGGCGAGCAGGGGCAGTGGAAGGCCACCACAGAGAAGAGTTCCTGGCTGCCCACTGTGCCCAGTGCCACCAGCCCGTTGAAAATCATCACATCCTTGCTCTTGAAGAAGAGTGACAGGAAGCGGAAGTTCTCTGCAATCAGGGCTGCCATGGTGATGGTCGTGGCGGGTGGATTGCAGGAGAGGAGACAGGATTGATGGTTGCTGGTGGTACTAGGAAGGGGCGCGGGCTGGGGGGCGCCAGACAGCAGGGCGTGGTTGTGCTATCTCATCCCCAACTGTGTGGTTGGCCTGGTGTTTCCTGTGGAGCAGATGACCCATAAGTTTCCATCTGAAAACCGGGAGTTGAGGAAGATGCTAGTGTGGCCAGGCTGAGGAGAAAGGAAGGAGTGCGGGGGCCTGGGGAAGTGACAGTTGCCACTGTTGATGGAGTTCTTCCAGGGCGCCAGGTGCTTTGCACTCCTCACTTCCCATCCTCACAGTCCCACGCTGAGCTGTGTGCCCGCCGTGCACTAGGGAAAGTGAAGGCTTCCTGAGGGTGAGGGGCTCGCCAGGGTCACAGATAAGAGGCAGACTGAGATTCAGGCTTGGGTAACCTGCCTCAAATGCTCAGTATCTTTTTGCCACCACGAGCTTCTCCTAGGGTAGGGCTTGGGGATGGCCTGTGCTGCTAGGGAATGTGGGGTGCTGACCGGCTTCCCCTCTGGGATTCCAGGTGGCACACATTAGCTGAGGGGTCTGGGACTCCTTGAATCCAGGGCATGTCCTCAGGGCCTCAGCCTTGAGGGTGTAAAAGCTAGAGTGGGTGTCCAGGTGGCTAAGGGTCTCAGACTGGATCCTGCGGTGTGGGCTGGGGCGAGCACAGCAAGATGCCAGAATCTCTGGAGTTTGCAAGGACCTCAGGGTCTCATCACACTTCATGACTTTTCTCTGGGCCTCAGTTTCCTCCTCAGTGAAAAGAGGATAAATCATCCTGACTCTTGCTCTCTCCTAGGGATGTTGGAGGGAAAGAAAAGAATCAAAGATGCCTTATCGTGCTCTGTGTGAAACCCTCCATCTCTCCCACGCTGTCTTGTCTTCAGGGTGGGGACCAATCTCTTGCCTGCAAGGATTAGGGAACTGAGACCTGAAGAGGGTGAAGTGGCTTGCTGAGGCCAAACAAATACAGAGATGCCCCAGCAGGACCTCTAACCACAACCTACGGAGACCTGGGAAGTGGACAAGGGTGAGTCTGCGCTAAGTGAACCCCTTTTTTTCTGTATCCTACTGACCTTGCGGAGTTCATCCACGAGTGTCCCGGAGAACCTCCTCTTCTGCAGCTGTGACTCCTCTCCTATCCAGCAGCCTCCCAGCAGCCCCGCTCCATCTCGCCTGCCAGCAGCCGGAAGCCTGGGTGAGAGCAAAGGCTGAGCAGTGCCACCAGCTCATCCGGAGATTGAGATCGCTCTGCCTTGGTCTGGGCTGCAGCGGACCCTGGCAACCTGCCAGGAAGTGGCCAAGGCCTCGGGCAACAGCAAAGTTTATCCCAACTCCTTTTCCAGCTTCCACCCACACAAGCCTGAGACAGGCCAGGGTGTGGCCCCATATCCTCCCCATCTGGAGGGTGAAAAACAAAACTCCCCATGCCAGAGGAAGCTAAGCAGTGGAGGGATGGGGTGAGTAGCAGACACGGAGAGACCTGTCTCTGTTCCCCTCCGGGCTTCAGCTCTAGATCACCTCTTCTGTCCCTGCCAAGGAGGGCTGCCAGATGGGCTCAGGCAGAGCCATGTGGCCATGCCGACTCCAAGAAAAGAATCTGGGGGAGGAGGACCAGGAGGAACAGGAGGAGGAGGAGGAGGAGTCTGATTCTTCCCCCACTTCACAGCCAGGGGTTTCCAGTCTAACTTCCTGGGAAAGGCAGTTTGCATCACTGCTGGGGATGAATGGGCTAAAGTCAGCCCCCTCTCCCTTATCCTCTTCCCTCCTAGGCGTCTAGGCTCCTATTAGCTCCCTGTGCCTCTGGGTTCATAAACTGGCTCAAAGTGGGGTACCAGATACTTGCACAGGGTGGGTGGTGAGCAGAGGATGGGCCAGGCCCTCTTCTGAGACCACTAACCCCAGGCCAGGGACGGGTCACATCTAGACTCCCAGTGGGACCTCCTCCACCATCAGTCACGACTAGAGACCGGCGGCTGGGGGAGGGGCGGGACTGCTCCCTCTCCCACGGGGTGGGGGGAACCTCAGCTAGGGGCCTCTCTCCCTCGAGGCAGCGTGGGACCGGCCCTACCATGCTCCCCTGACACCTGGCGCACCCTAGGGAGGGCCCCTTCCTTACCTGGGGCCAGCTGTGGGCACCTGTGGCTGTGGCCTCCTGGGGACGGACTCTGCAGGTGGCCTCCAGAAGGGCGTGCAGGGCAGCTGCCCCACTGTGTGCGCCGCCGCCGCCAGGCCCTCCGCCGCTCCCTCCCGCTTTTCTTCTGCAGGGAGGCCTGGGGCTGGTGGCGGCTTCAGACTGGTCTAACTTCAGAAAAGAGAGCCGAAAACAGTGGGATGGAGTCTGCGCGCCAGTGAGTGGAAAAACAGCCTCCCGGCGCCACCAGGCAGAGGAGGGCGGGCCCCGAGGGCGAGGGCGAGGGCGGGGGCGGCGCGAGGGGAGGGGAGCCGAGAGGAAGTTGTGGTGCCTGTTCCACAGCTGCTGCCTATCCCACCGCCCTGCCCCTCGCCGTCCCTGCGCCCTGCTGGCCCCGCTCTCAGCCCGGACCCGGACCCTGCCGAGCTCCACAACCTAAGGAGACTCGGGGGACCAGCCAGCCAGGAGGGTCACGTGGGGGTGTGGGGAAGTATTGGGGAGATCCGGCCTAGACCTGCCCCCCATGACAATTTCAACAGCACCCCACGCCGGGCAGAAGCTACCGAAGGACACCCTGAGAGGGTCAGGGGAGGGGGCCGTCAGTCCCCGCTGAGCCCCGCGGGATGTTCTGGGCCAGGCCCGCACCCTCTTACGGCCCTTCTCCCTCAGAGTGGTCCTGCCGCTGACTGGACAAACCATCCCCACAGCCAGCTCTTTGTCCCGTAGCTAACTCCCGGGACCTGCTTCGGATTCCTGGAGGGTTGACGATTGAATTCAGGAGCCTAGGGATGCCCCCGGGGCCAGCAGGCAGAACTCCAACTGGTGGGTGGAAATTTCAAGGCGGCAGGTTTCTGAAGGAAGCCCTTTGTAATAATCAGAGCTGCCCAGCCTGTCCCTAAAAGTGGTCATGAGCTCCCCAGCTGTGGAATTGCACAAGATACGGGCTGAAGCGCACGGATCAGGAACGCTGCAGAGGAGAGGCCTAGGGACAGGCTGGTTGACCCTTAGCATGGAGGGAGATGACTCCAGACACCTGCCAGCGCTGCAGTGCTCTTGGTTCCATCATGGTGGAGCTGCCGAGCGCGCTGGCCTTCCTGCGCTGGGCTTGACCACATGCAGGAAGGAAAGAAAATGTACCAGGGTTTGCTTGTTTATTTGTTTATTTCAGATCCCAGCACGTGCCAAACACAGTCCCAGATCCCTCCCTAAAAGGTATTTCCCTTTATCCTCACCACAATTCTGAAAAGCAGGTCTTTTTTAAAAAATAATTTTTTCATTTAAAAAAATATTACAAATCTTATTATTTTGTTAGTTCATGTCTTTTATTAACTCAGTTACTTGTCTTCTGGTTTGTTGAAGCAGTAAGTCAGACAACATTTGCCACAATAATGTCTGTCAAAGTGGCTTGCCATAAACACTCCAGCCCGACATTCATCAGAAGGGCACTCTCGACGAAGGCGACTAATTTTGCCATTCTCATCCACCTTATAATATTTCAGGACAGCCAGCTTGACCTTCTTTCTCTTGTGCTTATTCTTCTTGGGAGTGCTGTAAGACTTCTTCTTCCTCTTAGCACCATCATGCAGTCTCAACACAAGAGGAAGTGTAGACTCCTTCTGAATGTTGTAGTCAGATAAAGTACGTCCATCTTCCAGTTGCTTGCCAGCAAAGATCAGTCTTTGCTGATCAGGAGGAATTCCTTCCTTATCCTGGATCTTGGCCTTTACATTTTATATCGTATCCGAGGGTTCAGCCTCGAGGGTGATGGTCTTCCCTGTAAGGGTTTTCATGAAAATCTGCATTTTGGTGGCGGCCCCACCTGAGGCGCAGATTGCAGATCGAAAAGCCTTATTATTATTATTTTAGAGACAGAGTCTTGCTATGTTGCCCAGGCTAGTCACCAACTCCTGGGCTCAAGTGATCCTCCCTCCTTGACCTCCCAAGTGCTGGGATTACAGGCATGAGCTACTGCACCCGGCCAAGCAGGTCTTCTAATATCCATCCTTTTTTTTTTTTTTTTTTTAAATAGGATGGGGGTTTCACCATGTTGGTCAGGCGGGTCTTGACCTCCCGACCTCAGGTGATCCACCTGCCTTGGCCTCCAAAGTGCTTGGATTACAGGAGTGAGCCACCACGCCCAGCCTCTAATAACCATCTTACAGACAGACACCCTGAGGCTTAGAGTGGCTAGGTGACTTGCCACAGGTCCTGCAGTGCTGGTATTTGAATCCAGGTGTGCCTGACCCAAAGCTTTGCTCTCCTTCACATCTGTACTTTCTGATACCTCCCGGCCTTCACTTCCCACTGGAAGCGCCCCCCGCCCACCAACACATACCTTGTTTTTGCTCATCCAAATCCTCCTCTACTTCAGGGCCCAGACCAAGTCCCACCTCCTGGAAGAGCCCTCCCGGCCCACCTTGGCCCACAAGGATCTGAGCAGCTCCTCCCAAATAATTAAAAGGAGGGAAACTGGACCCCAGAAGTGAGAATAGATGGAAGGATGGATAAGAAAGGATGGAATCATGACCAAGATCAAAATGAATTCTTAGATGCTTGGGACTTACGTCTCAGAGCTATCTAAGGGAGGTGCTGAGAAAGCTACCTGTACCTCTGTTTCCTCTTCCCCAAAAAGATGGAAGCTCCAGTGTTTGTGTTGCTGTCTCTCATCCCTGCCCAGGGGAGGAAGCGGGAAGTCCTTGGATTCAGAAATCAGCAAACACATTAGCTACCATGTGCTGGGTGCCTACCATGTGCCATGTGCTTTGTTTTTTGGTTTTTTTTTTGAGACGGAGTTTCACTCTTGTTACCCAGGCTGGAGTGCAATGGTGTGATCTCGGCTCACCGCAACCTCTGCCTCCCGGGTTCAGGCAATTCTCCTGCCTCAACCTCCTGTGTAGCTGGGATTACAGGCACGCGCCACCATGCCCAGCTAATTTTTTGTATTTTTGGTAGAGACGGGGTTTCACCATGTTGACCAGGATGGTCTCGATCTCTTGACCTCGTGATCCACCCGCCTCGGCCTCCCAAAGTGCTGGGATTACAGGCTTGAGCCACCGCGCCCGGCGCCATGTGCTTTTATACATAGCAATGCCATGACGGGAAGGCCCTCACCCGCATTGTATAGATGAAGAAACTAAGGCACAGGCAGTGATGCAGCTGGCCCAGGGACAGAGTTTGTGAGTGGTAGAGACAGCATTTGACCCAATTCTGTCCCACTCTGGAATCAGCTGCTTCCCGTTTACGCTGCTCTCCTCCACCCTCATCCCGCTTGGGCTAGCGCCTTGGAGCTCCTCTTAGCCTCTTAGAACTCCCTCCCCAAGGGGTGGGGTCTTTGAGAAAAATGGAGAGACTTAGGCCGGGCGCGGTGGCTCAAGCCTGTAATCCCAGCACTTTGGGAGGCCGAGGCGGGTGGATCACGAGGTCCAGAGATCGAGACCATCCTGGTCAACATGGTGAAACCCCGTCTCTACTAAAAATACAAAAAATTAGCTGGGCATGGTGGCACGTGCCTGTAATCCTAGCTACTCAGGAGGTTGAGGCAGGAGAATTGCCTGAGCCCAGGAGGCGGAGGTTGCGGTGAGCCGAGATCGCGCCATTGCACTCCAGCCTGGGTAACAAG